TATTTATTTTCTGAATTATCTAGAAAAGATATTAATATAAAGAAGATGAAAAAGGCTCCAGAAGCCTATTCAGACTTCTTAGGTTTTGAGTATAGTATAACTCTTACTTGTTTACCTGTAGGTACTGGTAAAACAAAAGCTTTAAAAAAAATTTTCAACTCTTTAGTTGAAAATAAAGATTTTTTTTGTTTTATCTGAATTTTATATCACAAAACTCTTAGCAATAAAACCAAATCTAAAGTTAAAATATTACAGAATTTGGGTCTTTATATATGCCAATATTAAGAAGTTGAAGATAGTTTATCTATAAGTAATTGGGATATTATTATTATTTAGATAGAAAGTACATTTCATATTGAGCTTCATAAAAGGTGATCATATATAGTTATTTTAGATGAAGTCAATGTGATCATACACCAAATATTTAGTAGAGTTCATGTATAAGAATTTGAAAATGCTATATAAGATTTGTTAAAGTTAGCTATTCATATTGTAGCAATAAATGCTTTTGTGAATAACTCTACTTTAGCTTTCTTAAAACAGTATCAAGATAATATATAGATTTTTGATAATAAATATCAATCACACATAAGTGAAACTGTTAAGATTTTTTATGATTCAAAAAAAAGTTCAAAAGCTATAAGAAGGGGTCTTAATATGCTTTGAGAAGGTAAGCATGTTGCTTTTGCAATAATATTATGTAAAAAAGCCTGAGCTTTGGCAAACCAAGCTTCTGCATTGCAAAAAACAGATGATTAATCTATTTTAACACATGTTTATTTTGGCCAAATGGACATAATGCAATGACAAGAGGATTTTGCCAATATTAATGCTACTTGAAGTTCTCTTGATTGCATAATTTATATAATACTATAGAAGCTAGCATCTTTTTTGAAATCTCTAAACATTTTGATACTATTATAGGGATTAGCAATATTAAAACAGAAGTACATATCAAAGCTTTTGTATAGATGCTTTACTGAATTTGAAATTGTTTACAATATATTATTTTTTTATATTATAGTAATAAGTTCTTTAAAATATTCCAAAAGCCAAATCATAATCTTATTTGTGCTAAACTTTCTGCTTTAAGGTCTATTAATTTATCAACAGCAATAAGAGAACATCAGAAATAGAATAAAATCACTGATTGTTATACTCTTGATGCATCTCTAGCAGTTGAAACATATATTGAAGCTGAATATTAGAGATGCTTATCAGCTAAATATTTTCTTGAAATTCTTTGCAGTTTTGTTTCTAGTATGAGAAATTTACTTGAAATTATTTCTGCAGAAGGTACTATAGCTAATAGGAAAATAGTTTCTAATATTATTAAGGCAGTTGAAAAAAATATCAAAAGCTTTGATGCAGAATTAATGGCTAATGCACCTAATATTATTCTGAATGGTGCTAAAATTCTTAAACAAATTTTTATATGCTCATTTACTAATAATATAATATTGCAATAACATTATTTATAAAGAATATATGCTTCAGAAGATATTAAAGATAAGGATGATAATAGAGATTGGGGCATAAATAACATCAAATAATTAATCTCTGCAATGTTAATTTTGTAAAAAAATTTAATAATCCTAAACCTTTATAACATTTTAGAAGACTGGCATATTTCCAAAAGCAAGGTTCAGATGCAATAAAAGCTTTAAAAAGGTTAAAAACTAAATAAGTTATATAATAAAAAGGATTACACAATTCTTCAGATTTGTTTTTAATTGATTTATAAAAGGCATATTTATCTAAATAGTAAAAGGTGATACAGAAACCTTTTTAAATACTAGGCTTTACTAGCATTGATGATATAAGTACTTTTTCGAGTAATATTATTTCAGAAGTATTTGTCCAATTATGCAAAGAATTTATAAAAATCCAAAATTAATTCTTATTACTCTTTGGCTTTAAATCTCATACAAAAGAAACATCAGATCTTAATTTAGCTATAAAAGCAATTAATGCAATTGCTAGTAATTGGTGCAGATATACTGTTAAAAATGATAAAAAAAGAATAGGGCCTAAAGAACAATAAGTTTGGCAATACTCATATTGAATTAATCACTAGCCATATAATAATACTGGTTTTAAGAATAAAGGTGCTTCAAAACTTCTATTATATAGATCAAATGAAGTAATTCAAGATCTTTTTAATTTTATAAAGTAAAAAAATAATACTTTAGCTAGATTATTTAGCTAAGTATCTTAACTGCATCAGATTCTGTTTTATTTTTTTTACTTTTGTGCCAAGCATAGTTATAAATTCTGTCATGCATACTACAGATTTTGATATAAGAATTGGTTAACTTATTGCAGATAAGACATAATTTTTTAGAATGTGTTTTATAGTATATAGCATATTCTGAAGCATGCCAGCACTCTTTTTCACAAATCAAACTATTTTTCTTGATGTATTAACAAAATAAACCAACTATATGAGTTAAACTATCTTTTTTAATATATTGGCAAAATAGATGATCTATATGAAATAATTATAATATTAATAATTTCATAACTTCATTTTTATTTTTATTATAAATATTCAAAAATGTGATGTTACAGATGGAATATTTTTTTTCAAATAGAACTTTTTTCTACAATATGTAATCTGAAAACATAGATTAATTTAACTATTACTTATATTTTACATATCTTATTATGTCTGCTATTACAACCAAGTTTGTTACAGATTACAAACTTACTATTGAAATAAGTCTTAAAAACCTTAGCTGATATGCATCAGAAATACTTAAGCTCTTATTAGATAATAAACAAAGAAGGCATTAGACTCGTAATTATCTTATAAAAGGATATGACTTTACCAAAGAACAGACATTTGTATTGATTCTTTTTTATAAAATCAGGCGATGCAAAAGTCAAGCACCTCTCAAAAAAAAAAAGTTAAAAGCTAAAAAAATGAATATATGCCAGGTATTTGATAGTACTTGTTCTGAAGAGACTATTAAAGAAACAGCTTAGTGTATTATAAAAAATAAACTTAGTAAAAGAAATGTAAAAGTAATATTTAGAACCTTTGTTAAAACTGTTCCAGATCCTGTTATTGCTTTATCTCATTTCTTTAGGCTTCAAAAGAAATTATAAACTCTCAATGCTTCAAAAAAAATAGTTTCTGCTACATTGAATCTAGAAGTAACTAGATTATTCAATAAAGTTCAAAAAGAGTATAGCAAACAATGTGAAAATAAAGCAATTGATTTTCTAAACCATTCCTTGTTAGAATTAGTTAAGAATAGACTGAATTTGTATAATGTATCTAATATATCTGATAAGCAGGCCCTAGCCAATATAATAATAATGCTTTGCATTTATTCTGCTAAAATTAAAAACTTGCATATATTTAATAAGGCTGTAACTGAATATGCAAAAAACTGAGGTCAACAAGATATTTCTCAAGTATTTAGATTACTGGAAAAAAATAAGGAGTAGGCAAAAAAAATTACTTACATAGATTCAGAAAGCAATCATTTTTAGGAGTTAAAAGATCCAGAAAAACTTGAATCTATATACTTAAGTATATTTCTAAAAAAAGATGAAATTCTTCCAAAAAGCAGTAAGCCATTACTTTCTAGCTCTTTATGCAAATTAGAGGCAATATTTGCTTCTGTAGCATATGGGTCTAAAAATATATTAAAAGCTAACACTTATGCTAATAAAGCTCTTCAGCATTTATCTAATAACTATGCTTCTCTATTTAAAAAGTATATTATAGTTAATATGTAGAAAAAAAGTAAGCCATATAATCAGACAAAACCATTCTGCATCTTTGATGAAAACTAATATCCAAATTTTCTTGAAAAGTGGTTTAGATAACATTTATTAAACTTTATTTTTTTGCTCATCTGTATAGGTAAAATTTAAATAAAAGTGTTTTAGTTAAATAAAACAATATGTTTGATATATAATGCATTCATATAACCTATTCAATATTCAAGATATTTGTAAAGAATAGGAAAAAAATAGTTATACCAATACATGTTAACTGAATATGGTTTAAACTATATCAATAATTTAAAAACACCAGAAGCATAGTTATGATTTATGAAGTATATCTATCTGAATATATACAAAGATGTTTATTAATACTAGGATATGATATTAATAGAAAGGTTCATTAAAGAAACTTTGTATTTTATAGTAAAAATAATTTAACTAAAAATGAATCTATAACCAATAACTCTGAATTTAAAAAATTTAAAATCCAAGTAACATATTTTCTAACTTTGAATATAAAAAATCGATTAGTGATTATTATTCAACAAGCATATTATTTATAGAAAAAATGAATAAATTCAGCTAAAATAATTCAGCATGCAATAAGGAAATGGCTTTATTGACTAAGTGACACATAAATGAAACATGCTTAAGAATGTTATTATCAAAATATCAATAAACTTGAGAATTAACAGTAGATCAAGTAAATCTGATTTTTTGTTCAAATAGAATTATTATTACTTTATTTATTTAGTTAAGAAATTACTAATTTGTAAATTGTTATGATTGCTAGTAGATTGAGTAATCTACATTCATACTAATTAATTTGTAAATGAACAGATTGTTAAACTCAAAATTAGTTTTTATAAAATCTGCAAGTTAAGTTTATTAGTCTCTAAAACATTAAATATATAAAAATAAACAAATAATTAATTTTAATACTTATCTGTCTATAATTCTTAATACTGTATACCAACTCTTTTAATTATAAAAAATTTTATTTTTAAATATGGCTACTAATTCAATGCCTTAAAACATTTCATATCTCAAAAGCCTTGCTTTAAATATTCTTAAGAATGGCACTTTAGAGGTTATTGCAAAAGGTGTTGAAGTTTCAGAACTAGATTCATGCTTAAAGTGTAATAAAAAACTTTTTTTGTACAAAATTAAAAAACCATTTATAATACTTACTTGCATCTATATATTTCACTATAGTTGTCTTAAGGACTATGTAAAAGATCTTCTGCAATATTCTAAGTATGCAATATAAGTTGAACCAATTAATTATTCTGAGCTTACAAAAAAATCAAACACAAAGTACTCCAGTTCCAATGCAAGTTTTGCCACAGATAGCACAAATAACATCTAGTCAAAGCAAGAATACAGTAACTTCAGTTACAACTTATAGTTTAAATCTCTCCTTATTAGATTTTTTACCATTTTCAGACTATACAAAACAGAGTCAAAAAAGACTAAGTAAAGATACTACTAAAAATAAATTATCTAGTAAAAAATCAAAACATAATAAGGAAAAAGATAATAAGAAAGATTCTAATATTATAAAAAAAACTTATTACAGAATTAAAATTTAACATCACTAAACAAAACACAAATTTGTAAAAACTTCAATTGAATTTCAATAAAGTTAAAGGCATAGCCTTATCACTAATATTTAAAAAAACAAAACACAAATACAATAACTTCTTACCAAGTTATAGCTACCAAAGCTGACCTACAACCTATTGATTTTCTAAATTTATATACTAAAATTATCACTGCTGAAAGTGAAAATTAAAAACAAAGTCAGAAAGTAATTATTTAATACTATAACTTCAGGATAGCTATAGTGAAATGCTTTAAGTTTTATTATAAAAAATCTTATAATGTAAATAATACTAATAGTGAAAGAAATAAAGAAATCAAAAAACAACTTTCTAATGATATTCCTAAAACTATTATCCTAAAAAGAAAAGAAAGAGCCCAAAAAATCTTTTATTTTTTTAGTAAACTAAAAATAGATAAAATAGTGTAAGCAAATTCTTTTTTTGTATTGATAATTTTTAAATTAATATTAATTATGAATATCTCAAATTTAGAAATTCTGAATAAAACCCCAACAGAATTAATCATATAAGTCATGTGGATATAATCACTAAAGATTACATTCACATAATTACTGTGCCATATATTAAATTATATATTTTCAATCCACATAATGATAAAAGTTTTGAGCATTATATATAAAAAATAAAATTTGTTATATGGTACAAAAATGTTTGTATTGATATACCAAAAAAATTTATAATTTTAGCTTATGCATAATTTGTTTGTAGATGAGAATGTAATTGCCACATATTACAGATTTGTATTGTATAAAAAAAATTTAGTTATGTATATTATCTTTTTATATATAATATATACAATAATAAAAAATTTGAATAACATATATATAAATAAATAAAGTCAAAATTATGTGGCATATCTTTAGAGAATAGAAGTACAAAGTGATAAATGCAACTATTATTCATATTTATATTGTAAAACATGTAAAAAAGTAGCAAATAGAATATATAAACAATGTAAATATAAAAATTCTCAAATAATTAAATAAATTGGTATTAATAATTTAGTAATAATAATAAAAAAAATTTATACTATATAATATTGATGTTTAAATAACCTATATGTTGTATATATAAAAACAAATTTTACTTTAAACCTAGTGGTATGACCTGGTCAAAACCAAATAAAACATTATGAACAAATTGCATCTGAATAATTATAGTTTAAAAATCAGATCAAATCAGTTTTAGCCATACTACTTATTAGTTGATTAATTCTATGTTTATATTAATATTAACCAATCTTTAAGCAAGTTATAATTTTTAATAAGCAAAAAAAAATCCATGTTGCCTAAAAAATAACAGATCAGATTCACTAATACTAATTAATCTGAGGTAAGAATTATTGTATATAAAGATAAACAATTCTTTCTATATATTAATTAAACAATATGAACTGATAACTAATATGAAATCAGATATATCCTGTTATCGAAATTTATTTCATATAAATATCAGGCTATCTGTATAATTCAAGCCAATATATGAAATTTATAAACTGATTCTATATATATAAACTAATTTTATTCCATTAACAATAATTCTTGATTACTAAAACATAAAGATCTAGAAGAAGAAGATTAATATTTACTAATTTTTTACTTTTTTTGAAGGGTCTTTTTGGGATATGTTATTTACTGAAGTTGTGAAAATATAAATATTTTCTATGTTTGAATTGATTTGTTAAATGATTTAACTGTTGATAAAACATCTGCCAGTAATAGTAAAAACAAATAAAAATATAATATCTGATAATGCATATAAATATACATTAACCACAGTATTTAAAAATACATTAATTTAGTAAATTTCTCAGCAAAAGCTTCAAACTCATCAAACCTTTCTGGTATTTTAATTTTTGTGAACTTATTAAAAATATATACATTTGAAAGTAGCCAAATTAGATATTCAATCTTTATATAACCATCTATAAAAATTAGATATTGGCAGTCTGAAGTAAATGTTTTAAGTATTGTTTTAGCAAAAAATGCCATAAAATCTGACTTGGTGATTTGATTAAATATGTTCAACAGAAACTGCTAGCTTCAAAAAACTAATATACAAAATGCAAAATTTTCAACATGATTATGATATTATTACTTACTGGCACTTTGGACCAAATAAATTTGTGTCTTTTTTTGAAACAGATTGCAGCAAACAATTTAAATTTCTTGATGCATTCTTACACAGCTTAACATGATTATTGTCTTTCTTAGTCAAAAAAGCCTAAATTCCTTTAGAAATTTCAATAATAGTTAAAACTGTTCTGCCTTTTTTTCTTTCTATTTTTAATACTTTATCAAATTTGTGCTTTTTTGTACTAGGTGTTGTTATCTTGATCCTAAATAGAATTAATATAAATTTAATAACAAAATATAATAATTAAAAAGTTTATAATATATACTATTTGAGAATGATGATCTTAGTATAGTAGTTGGGTTGTCATCTTTTAAGTAGCAGGTCTAAGATTCAAATTTTACCTATAACAAAATTTGGAAATTAACTTGTATTATAACAAATTGTCTCTTAATGATCAATTGAATTTGTATATCTGTAACCTTAAGTCATATTATCTCAAATAGAATTTTAGGGCATTTATGCCAAATGTAACATTATATGTATATAGAGAAATATTAATAACCAGTATCACATAAAACTTTGGTACAAACCCACAATAAGATTATCAAATGTAAAAACTAAGGAACTGAAGAGTCAGAAGCCTACTTAGAAATTTCTAAGTAAAGAGGTAACATGAACTTTCAATAGTACAGTTAAACTGATAGAAGCCTATAAAACACTTCCAAAGAAATAGATAATAAACCAGATATCAAAATATGTAGAGAAGCATATAACCAACTAGGCCACCAAAATCATTAAAGAAAAAGGATACATAAGTATATTATACCAGGCTATCTAAATTGAAAGTTAAAGGAGTCTTGTTAGTTCTAAGTAGCAATTAGTAAAGAATGATAAAGAAGACGTTATGATGATAGATACTAGGGTTCTAGTAAACTTTACAAGGGTAGAAATAGTGTAACATAGTGGTTAAACAGGTAACCTCTGTGACTGCAAGTATTAGATAACTATAGCATATTGCATAAAACTAGATCAGCTATGTGTAAGACACAGAAGGTTCTAGTAAGTTTTCTGTCAAGGATAAACTTGTCCTAAGGGTCTCAAAAGTATTAGGTACTTTGGATGAGTGTAGTCCAAAAGATGTCCTTGTGATTACAAGTCAGATTATATATGCAGAGAGTTTAAATAGGCAGACCTGTAGTTGGCTTGCAGATATGGCACCTAATATAAAATCTGTATAGTAATGTATAGATGGACTACTTAAATTAGACACCAAAAGTACATATGTAGCTAGTTGTAACCTCCTATGTATAGAAGCCTCTGGAGACATCTATGTCTAAATACTTAAATAAAAAAATTGATTCCCAAAGGCAGAAACTTTAATGTTAAAAAAAAAAATAATACATACTATTCACAATTTATTACATCTTAATGCATCTGAAAATTTGGTTGATTATATAAACTATAGTATCAACAGAATAGCTTTTTTCTAGTCTTAGTAGTTGATAACTTCTAGGTGCTTCTAACCATACAGAACTATCAACAAAACAGTCAGTAATGATAGAAGATTGATTAACTACACAAAAAGCTTATTAGTAAATAAATATAATTTTTTTTTTTTTTTTTTTAACCTTAAGCAGTTACGCTAGTACTTTATTAAGATTCTTTTTTTTTTTTTTTTTTTTTTTTTTTGGAGTTAAGGTGAGGTCATGCCTCAGGTCTGTTTATTCAAACATATTGTTACA